AGGCAAGTCAATATAGGCAATTAAAAAACTATAGCTAAATTATAGAAACGAACCTTTAATTGTGCGATGTGGAACTCTTGCTTCTTCACGCCAACCAAGACATTCATGCAGGCAGTCTATAAACTTGTGTTCACGCCAGACTCTAGCAAAGTAATGCAATATAAATAGTAGCGCCTTGAATAGCGCGCCCAATTCGTATTCAAATCACGCGCGACGCAGAACTCTCAGGTTACAGCGCCATCGGATTGGTCGATTTTTCAAGTTCCCCATTGGTTGCAAACACTCAATTCTCATTGGTCCCCATAAACAAATTTTGATCCTCGTTCAATCTGATGTTGAGTTTCTTATCGTTCTTCACCTTTAGACCGGCAAGGATCGAAAGAAGAAAACGACCACGAGAGACGTTTACTCACATATCCTACCAAGAAATTGTAGACATCCACGAATGTGCTATTTGTCATAGGATAATAAAATAAATGGATAGCTGAGCTGACGTGACCTAATGTTTTCAATGGGCTGATGGCGTGGTTGCATATTGAAACCTAGTTGCAAACCAATTTCTCAAAACGTTTAGCAATAATACAGCAAAACTACATTTTAGCCAAAGAGAAAATACTGAATATAACCACGCCATGAAATCTTTTAGTTACAATTGGCGACGCGGAAATTTCGTAGCTACAAATCTGAAACCTTGAATACCAGTTATTTTACAATCCATGATGAAACCAAGGGAAGTGTATCATAACATTCTTGTCAACGTACCGGCAATCATCATGGCATGTGTCAAATTATAAACTCAGTCTGGGAGTGTGTTTAAATCAAGACCTTTACCCACACAGACTTGACATATTCAATAAGGCGTGTAAAATGCGCTCGTTCGTTGCGCCATCGAGTATCTTCAGATCGACCGGTCTTGGCAATCAACACCTGGAATTCTATCCGATAAACTTTAAACATACCTAGAAGCTCCACAGTTAGCTGGCATTGACAATCTAGCCGATAGGAGAATCATCAGATATGTCAAAAATACACGAGCAAAATGAAAAGAACAAATCATCCCTTAGTGACAAACTAGAACTGTAATTATGAGCCGTTATCAGTACTACTAGAGAAAAAAACCGAATGAAGTTTTCAAGATTTGGAAGTACTGAAAAGACGCTGGAAAACTGGCTGTTTTATATTTGGGAAAAAAAAACACCCAACCCTTTAGTGCAATAATTGCGATGATACAGGCCTCCAAACTACATTCTATGCACCAATGGATCGTTTGGAAAAAGGCGAAATTCATTAGCCGCGAAATTCATTAGGAACAGGAAAACAAGCGAAAATCAGCTTTAGCCGTTGTTGTTTAATTAATTGAAGGCCTATATCGTCAAAACTATCGCACGAAATCAAACTTATTAACTAATTTTAATAAAAGCCTATTTCATGCAGTCACCACTTTCGTTGCACACATAAAATTAGATTTTATATAGATTGCTTGGATAAAATTGTACTAGTTTGAAAATATATAAACTCTCTGTAATTCAGACGTCTTTGTAACTGTGAAAGAGCAGTTCAATAAACCATAATTATATATTAAAACAGGGCATTTTTTAACTATATAATCAAAGTCCCTTTTCTCTAAAATATAAGCAAAACATGTAATTTAGAAGGCAGGTTTGATATTCTAAGTAACTGAATTTGCTTTGTGAATCTTATGTCCTGTCTTTTATGTTTAATAAATACCTTATTAGATTTTAAACATTTCCCAGGCAGTGGATTGCATTACCCAGACCCTATAGATTTGAGTTGTTGGACAAGTTAGTGACCGCAGGGGGCAACAGACCCTCAACCAAGTGTTTTATAAGGGGAGGGGGGGGGGATAATTTTGGCCCTCACCAAAAAAAAATAAAATTTGATTTCGAAACTAGAAGTATTTGAAATCACATATACATATAATCAAATATCTGTAATCGATATTTTGATAACATTTCTCGTAATAATCCATCCTGACTCGCGGATATCATAGACTCATAAAGGGCCAAAGAAAAGGCGTATACGTAGAAGACTTTGAAAATGCCATTTCCGATGATTTAGAGACGCAAAATTTTCAAAAATTTTCCGCTCTGTGCCAACCATTGTGGCGCTTTGCAGCGAATTGCAGTCATAGGGGTAGAAAAATACAAAGATGTTCTGGGGGAGAAAACCACAGACCCTCTCCAGGGCCGTAGGGTCATTCATTTTTCAAAATCATGCAGACCTTTATTATTTAATCCATGACAAACTGCAAAGAATGAAGATATTACCCATACTTTCTTGCAACTTATCCAATATATCGTCCAGGAAATGGCATTTCAGAGACATTTCCAAAGTCCAGGAAATGGTATTTCAGAGACTCTAAATTTAAAAATTTCCTCGGGCCTTCGGCCCTCGCTTTCACCCCCGCCCAAACGAAAAGAGCTTCCTACGGCCCTGCTCCCCCCCCCCTCCTACTATCAAATGCGATACCACACCAAACTTTTTGTTACCAACAAACCATCTATCATTGCTCCACACTCGGTATAGTATGGTCCCTTTTTGTAGATGCCCCCCCCCCCTGACGAATGCTTAAAAAATGCCCTGTATTAAGATTATATACGTGTGGCGTTATTTATTTATAAACTGTTCGATGACAATTCGTGTGTTTGTTGCAACCGCTGCATGCATGGGTGGTGGTGATTCACGTCACGTTTAAATTCCTCTGAACTCCTCCATTCGCATTGCGGTCGGGTACGGTTCGTGCATCTGTTTGTTTCTGCTGCAAAATTAGTAAACAATAATGCCGTTATCGGAGGGTTAGGCAATATTAGTGGGATGCTACCTTTGAAGCCAAACCTCATTCGAAAAGACACAGCATGCAAAAAGATTTTATGGCAGTGGATAAAAAAAATGACATTTCTCACAAACCCCCCCTCCTCCTCACACTCCCCCGGAAAAAAAAACCCCGCCCCAACCTTCTCCCCACAATCAATTCACGCACACCCTCGCATACCTTACAGAAATCGGCAATACCTGGAGGGTTACAGTTAGTAGGTCACACTGTCCCTTTTGAAATAGTATTGCGCATATACATCCAGTGGTATTTACAGCTCAGTTGGCTAATGTTGTAAACATCCAGTTCTCATTCTTAGGTCAGTGACTATCAAAACTTTTCAAGAAAATGTAGACGAAAAACACACGATTTTTTCTCGATTTCCTTGCCCCCAAACGATCATGCAACGAGATCATACACACGCCTATATACCCTGGCCTTACAGGAAGGCACTGCAACGCTTCTAATAAACAAAACCACACGCCGCAGGCCGGAAAATACGTTTCTATATATAGGCGCCGCTAGGCGAAGTCTTAGTACGACCGCTACACGACCTACGTGCGAACGCCCGCCGAGTGCCGCCCGACCAAACAACGAGCGCGAAAATTTAAATTTTCACCCAACCACTGCCTATAATATATAGATCCCTTTCTACACTACTCTCCGAGGACAGTTAAGTGCAGCAAAGTCGCTTATAGTTTAGCTTATTTTACTTTACAATCACACAGTTGATTTTAATTTAAAACATTATAGCAAAAACACAACAGTTATTTTAGTAACTACAACGCTCTTCCGATGGAAAATTCCGTGGAAGAGATGACGGTTAAGTATGTTCGTGCCGTGTGCGAGTTTCTCGTCGAAGCGATACGCTCTCAGCACGAGCATACCGTAACAACACAGTTGGGAGATCGGCTCGCCGAATTTTACCGCTCCCTATTCACCCAGCGTGATGGTAGGTAACTTTCTTCAAAACCAAACTAATTGTATAAAGTGCATGAAGAGAACTCACAATATTAATAATTATAAGGTGGCTCGATACGGAAAGATCAACGTATGAATTAATAAATAGAACTCTCATATGAGAATTTGAAGAATTTTGCTGAATCAAAATAGTTTCATCGAAAACTTTTCATGTCGAGACATCTTAATTGAAGGTGACGTCCACTCGTGTGCACATGCGCGAACTTTGTTCACGTTTTGTACTGCTATATTTGTAAAAACGAACTGGATATCTAACACTTTTCTGGTTCGCCATACTTGTAAATGAACATAAATTATAAAGATGCTAAATTTGGGCACAATATTTATAATGTTATTGATGTTATAAGCAGAACAGATGCGCAGGACGGAGTGGACATCATCTTTAATTATACAACCAAACTAGCGTGCATAATGACGTCACAAGGCTGGATGTCCGCGAGGAATGCTGGTCTCAGTAGTAAAAAAATTAAACAATTCAAAATGGCCACTATCGAAGTTTTCCCGGCCGATGACATTTTCCCAGCGTTCCGCGCGGGCAGCAAGCCTTGTGACGTCATTATGCACAAGATCGATTGCGTAAAACCATGGATAATAAAATAAATGGATAGGACTCTAGCTGACGTAAGCAAAGACAATCTAGTTGCAATCTGCGACGTCGCGCGCATTGCAAAGTTCTCGGCATTCTTGTTGTTTCGCTACACTAATTGTTTTAAAAACATGCCTAAGCCACGACAAAGTATTCAAGGTGAATGTTTTTCGTCTTTGTTTTTTGTAGTGCTTGAAATATTTGCTAAAATTGACTGGGAATACTTAGAGATTTCATCGTAGAATGGCGTAGTTACATTCATTTGCTCTTTGACTAAAATGTTTAGCTGTATTATTGCTAAACATGCCGTTTTTTGAGAATTTGCTTTGCAACTAGGTTTCAACATCCAATCACGCCCATCAGCCCGTTGCAAACATTAGATCACGTCAGCTAGTTTCCTATCCATTTATTTTATTATCCATGGTAAGACTAATTATCTACTCGCAGGAATCCTACCGGTTCAACAGATCCGGCCGGATCTACAGGCAGGTGTGCCAGCGAATGTGCCAGCGAACACCGCCGCCACCACTACCACTACAGCCACCGACAATCCTACGGCGCCAAAACGACGACGTGTCGGGACAGGCAGGGGTGCGCCAGGGATAGCGCGGAAACGCGTTGTCACTGAGCGCCAAAAACGTCGCAGGCGCCAAAAAGGAATGGCGAATGCACCACCACCGGCGCCATCGCCACCAACACTACCACCGACACCACCTCCTACACAACCACCAACACTACCACCACCGCCACGTGCACAGACACCACCACCTACGGGCGAACCTTCCCGAAAGACACCACGGGCACAGGTCAGTTAATTACATTACATTGAACTTCAAACATATAACAAATGTGTCTTGTTACACATTTAATTAAGGTGGCTCGATACACTTAATTTTCAAAAATGCCGGTAACTTTCACGTGTTCAAACAAATAGATTTTAGTAGCAGTTTGTTCGTTCAAAATGGTCTCGTATTGTTGGAAAATAGACATGGTGGTCACCCACAAGTTTTAATATTTTCGTGCTTTATTTTACTTGGAATATAACAAAAATTCTGTAGTGCCTACACATTTTGCCATTGCAGAAGGGTTTCTTTTTTAAAATTCTATGCAGAATGAAAGTCGTTTGGCGTTGCCATGCAAAATATGAACGTATAGGTCAGCAGACCGAATTTTGATTACTATACCGAGTCACCTTAAGAAATTGTGCTGCGCCGTGAAACTATTTATAGAACGTTTCAAACTAGTCAAATGGCGCGAATATCTTTAATTGCACGCAGGACACCAAAATATAATGTTTCTATCGCTTCTATCTAAATGTGTACCTAGGTCCTTGATGAATTATTCAACAACAAGAAACGGATCGAGAACTTCAAGGAGCTCGCCGGCGTTACGGAGAAGGAAGGTTACGATCCCCATGAGCTAGTTTTGTGGAAGAAAGATCTCCGCGGGTGGCAACTGCTTGAGGAATCTTTTGAGGAGCCGTTGCGGGATAAATGGCGTGCACTTCGATCGATGCCGAAGACTGCAAGCGACCCGCAGCTGATTGATGCTTTCTTCGAGCTTGCCAGCCTAGCCAACGGCTTCGCGAACCAAGCGGCCCATATGACCGGCTACTTGGTGCAGGAGGTCCTTCAAGTTGGAGATGAAAATGGCTTTGCACCGGAGCAAGTGCTCGACGACCTCGTCGCATCGCTGGATGCAAAGTCATATGCGATGTACCGCCGCCACTTGGAGGAATGCAAATGTGGAGCTTGCGAGGCCGTCCTCCAGTATGATGATGACTGCGGGCAGGGCGAAGTCGAGGGAAGACCGAAGCACTGCGTACGAGTTGAGCCGTGGGCGCAGATGGTGAGGAAGTTCTCCCGGGGACTGTCGGGAACGACGCTTAGAAACTGCGAGTACTTCTTCGCCTCAACACCGAAGATGTCCCCTCCTACGCTGTCGTTGGCCACACCAACTGATGTCCAGGCTTGCACCAGGCGATACATGAAACGGTATCTGCAAGGGTTGCCAGCGGATTACGAGGACTACCCGGAGCAGTGGCTCAGACGCACTCCGTTGAAGCATATACGTGTCGAGATGGCCGAGGTGTCCCGCGATCTTGTCGCAATGCTGGATGGTGACTCTGGCCATTTGGTCATAGACAAGGAGACGGACCAGGCATTACTAGCACACGTCACGCACAGGTATCGGCAGCACAACACCATCCGCTTTCGCACGATGGGAAACGACGCGCCGGAACGTGCGACAGCCTTCCGGTTGTATGGCGAGCACGTTGGCACATCCACCAGACGACAGGTTCTTCAAACATACCACTCGGGAGTTGAGAGCATGCGTTGCGCGCGGCGCATACTCGCAAATAGTCACCGCGTGTTCTTCCGGATTCCCATGGACGAGTCTGGCCTCCCGGCGCACGACCTTGACAAGTATGGTCGTCTATTGGTCGAAATATACGTTGAGGAAAACGATGGTGATGAATGTGTCTTGCTGGCGGAACGCATTGCCGAAGAGGGTCATACGTTTCCCATCCTGGACGGAGGACTCGACAAAGATGTGTTCGACGCAATGGTCCGGGCGAAACAGGCACGTTCTGGTTCTTTCCAGCTTCCAGGTGAAACCAGACAGTTCCCATTTAGACCATGGAACACGCGCGATGAGAGCAGCACATCTACGCAGGAACATCCGGTCGACGACGATCACATCACATCGTTCGTAATGCTGAAATCTCCTCTGGCGAACGAAGGTCTCGTATACACGGCGCCCTCCACTATCCCAAATGCAGGCATGGGCCTATTCTTGCGTCCAAGGCGAACTAGTCTACCGGCAGGAAGTTATCTTTGTAAATATGCAACGTCCTATACAGCAGAACAACCCACTTCCGAAGCTGGTAAGTCCGTTGTGATCACTAAACCCATATAGCTAAGATAGTCTACGATAATAGAAATTGAAATATAGGGACGTCTTCAATAACTTTAAGGCGGCTTTACGTCAAATGAAACAAACTATTTTTTATCGACAATGTCCTTTCAAGCAGGTCTCAGACACGGAAAATTTTTGTGCGTTTGAAAAATTATACAAGTTTACCAATAGCTCGAAAAGTAAACAATGAAATCATTAATACACGAGAGACTGCCGCAATTTTATTTGGCAAACAACTTATGTATTATGTTGTATTGTACTGTTATTTTGTTGTATTGTTATTTTGTGTTGTAATTGTAATTGTGATTGTGATTGCAGTGTGATTGTAATCTTAATTGTAATTGTAATTGTAATTGTAATTGTAATTGCAATTGTACTGTATACTGTATTGCGTCGTGTTGTATTGCATTCTATTGTGCTGCGTTGTGTTGCATCGTACTGTATTGTGTTGTGTTGTGTTGTGTTGTGTTGTGTTGTGTTGTGTTGTGTTGTGTTGTGTTGTATTGTATTGTATTGTAATGTATACAACATGAGCGGCCGTGTTGTATCGGATATACAAACTCGAGCCGAAAGCGAGAGTTTGTATATCCGATACAACACGGACGCGAATGTTGTAAATGGCTTAAAAAACGGCTCATCTTATGAGTTCATTGGCGAAGTAATTTTAAAAATAAACGTTGTCTAAGCCGAGAAAATCAAAGTTAAAGTTTATGTAAATCAACATAAATCTGTATCACACATACAGATACGACACGCTTATGATTTTTCTTTGTGTTTTCTGCATGAATTGTAAACGAGTTTTTTAATCTACGGTATTGTACTGTATTGTACTGTACTGTATTGTACTGTATTTTAAAAAATCATACTCTCTTTTTATAGGCTCTTACTTGGTCGACGCGCAAGTTGGCGGAAAGATAAGGTACTACGACGCCACGACCTACAATGGCACCAACATCGGCCGATATGCCAATATGCTGGGCGTGATGGATGCGCTACGCGACGTCGTTGACCGAAGTACCACCGCAACGTTCACAGAGTTCAGCGAACGAGAATGGAAAACCATCAACGACGAGCTGGCCTCGAAAAACAACGCCCGTTTTCGCGTAAGTGGCGAAGATCTCGAGTTGCGGACAACAAGGGATATTCCCAAGAGCGCCAATCCCATAGAGATATTCGTCTCTTACGGCAACATCAGATCATACTGGATAGCGGGCATTGTCAGAGAACCCCAAAGCTACCCTAGAGAGATGGCCAACATCGCAGAATTTTTGTTTAATTCTCCAAACAGCAATTGGACACTCGCACAAAAGCAGCGCTGGGGTTCCTGTGAGGACCTGCTAGATGAATGTGGACACCTTACAACATTGTAAATATTGAAGTTAAATACTGCGAAAAATTGAAACTCTGATTTGAAACATCAGTTATGAACATTTATAAATGGAAAAACGCAATTTCAAAAAAACAGGGTAATCGAAGACACTTGTATACCGTATATTACAATATTCCTTCGACTAATTTTATGGTTGCGGTGGTGCTCGTGGCAACTTGTGACAAGCTTTGTACGAAATGCCTGCCACAATTCCTCCCCAAAGACTGGATACAAAAGAACATCTACATAACTCTGACCCGACAACTTGCATCGGAAAGCTATAATGCCTACTGTCATGCAAACGAAGTTATAGGCTATGCAGCAGAAGAGAGTTAGAGAGAGTCTCCGCAAAGACTACATAACTGAAGACATCGTAACTGTGAGAAATAATATAAACTTTTACAATTCATCTGGAAGCTGGACAAAGTGAAAAAAAAAACACCTCTGTTTCTCACGCCACGTCCTCCACACGGTGTGCCCCCCGCCCGCGCCGACGACCGTGCAAGCCACGAAGGAACTTTAGAACTACTTCGGCAAGAATTGCTACGGAAACAAAAACATGAAAGTCCTCTCCAAGGCGTCGTCCGAATCAGACATTTACGAATCTCCGCTGGGTGTCACTGAAGAAGACACATCTTTTTATATATTTGGAAAAACGCAATTTCAAAAGACTAACGTAATTGTAACTAAGAACTGCTCGGGAAAGAAAAAACAATTAGAAGAAGAGCAAGACATTACAACCAAAGCCGAAGAAAACGCTGCGACAAAGTTTGGACCAAATGCCTGTCTTCATTAATCCGGAAAGACTGGGTACAAAAGAACATCTACAGAACTCTGACCGAACCACGTGAATCGACAGCTATAATGCCTACTGTCATGCAAACGAAGTTGTCAAGGCATCGCAGCAGAAGAGAGTTAGAGAGAGTCTCCGCAAACACTACATAACTCAAGACATCGTAACTGTGAGAAAGAATATAAACTTTTACAATTCATCTGGAAGCTGGACAAAGTGAAAAAAAAAAACACCTCTGTTTCTCACGCCACGGCGTCAACCCGCTGTGCCCGCCCGCCCGCGCCGAGGACGTTGCATGCCACGAAGGAACTTTAGAACTACTTCGAGGAGAAATACTGGAGAAACAAAAACACGAAAGACCTATTCAAGGCGTCGTCCGAATCAGACATCCACGAATCTCCGCTGGGTGTGCTGTGAAGAAGACACATCGTTTTATAAATGGAAAAACGCAATTTCAAAAAACAAGGTAATTGAAGACACTTGTATACCGTATACTACAAGATTCCTTCGACTAATTTTATGGTTGCGGTAGTGCTCGTGGCAACTTGTGACAAAAGGAAAGGACTGGATACAAAAGGACACATCTATACGAGTTTGACCTCACCTCGTGCATATGTGCGGACAACCTGTGCATTCCACTGAAAACATCGTGACTCCAAAAAAGATTAGAAACTTTTATAAATGGAAAAATTCGAATGATGAACAAGAGGCGAACGTAATTTTAAGACACTCGATCGTATACCGTATATTACAATATTCCTTCAACTCTCCTGGCGCTCGGTACACCTCGACACATTGCGACAAGCTTTGTACCAAATATGCCTGCCTTAACTGCTGCGAAAGGACTGGATACAAAAGGACACATCTATACGAGTTTGACCTCACCTCGTGCATATGTGCGGACAACCTGTGCATTCCACTGAAAACATCGTGACTCCGAAAAAGATTAGAAACTTTTATAAATGGAAAAATTCGAATGATGAACAAAAGGCGAATTTCGAACTCTCCCCGGTGAGTCAGTTATTAAGTAATATGCAAAGTAACTTCTAAACATTTACATTTTCTAATTGTTAATATTTTCATGTGTTATCAAGGAAGGAGAAAAAGAAGAGGAACAGCAGGAAAGAGAGACAGATATGCAAGATGATGAAAGGAATGACGATGATCATTCAGAACCTATGTTCCCCAAACCTCTCAAGGTTTGTTTCCTATAATGTTATCCGGTATAATAATATTATATGTCGTTCTTAGATCGTGCTCATGGGTATGCCATGGTAAACACAACAGGAGTTAGAAGGATAACACGATAGCCACATATAAGGTGGTAATATATTTAAAACATTTATTTATAGAATAAGAGACGATTGAAACCCTGCCCCATCTGCGGGCGTTCCTTCAAGGTCCTCTTATCACACCTAAAGGTTAATCATAAACTCGGCGCACAGGAGGCAAAGCGTCTGTCCGGCAAGAAACGTCTTGTGCAGTTCGGGACTACTCAAAAGACCCGCCCTGTCCCTTGCCCGCACCCTGGATGCAGAAATGTGGTCGTCCGTGTCGACCGGCACCTCGTCAGGGTGCACGGAATGGAAAAAACAGACACAGAGTACATTCGCATGAACAATGAAACAAAGGCCAAGAGGCATAGTGTTGCATCAAAAAAAGCGGCGAAGTTGTTAAATAGAAAGTCGCCAATGAAGATGGAAGACCTTCCATTGAAAGGAGAAACAAAAGACATAGAAGTGTTGTTTGCCAAATTGCTTTCACGAGAAACCATCAGACAAAAGCTCAAGTTAATTGATTTTCAAGTTTTTTCTCCTCTTTTCAAGAAAGAGAGTGGCAAACATCAGTTATAAACTTTTATAAATGGAAAAACGCAATTTCCAAAAAACAAGGTAATCGCAGACACTTAAATATTGTATATTACAATATTCCTTCGACTAATTTTATGGTGGCGGTGGTCCTCGTGGCAACTTGTGACAAGCTTTGTACGAAATGCCTGCCACAATTCCTCCCCAAAGACTGGCTACAAAAGAACATCTACATAACTCTCACCCAATCTGTGCCCACAACTTGTCATGCAAACAGAGATATAATGCCTACTGTCATGCAAACAAAGATATAAGCTATGCAGCAGAAAGAGAGTGGCAAACATCAGTTATAAACTTTTATAAATGGACAAACGCAATTTCAAAAAAACAAGGTAATTGAAGACACTTGTATACCGTATATTAGAATATTCCTTCGACTAATTTTATTGTTGCGGTAGTGCTCGTGGCAACTTGTGACAAGCTTTGACAAGTTTAAACTTTTATAGATGGAAAAACTCTATTTTATGAGACGGACATAGCAAGAATTGGGACGATCTATTGTTGGGGTGCGCGAACGTTATTTGTAACTGTCTGTATCAGTGTGGGAAGTACCAATCCGAAATCATTTGCTGAGTGGTTATGTTATTACATGAATTAAACAAGGTTATTTGAGGCACGGATGGTATGCGATGTTTGCCAAATTGCTTACCAGAAACCACAAGACGAAAGGTGAGCTTCATTTATTTTCATGTCTTTCGTGGGCTTTTCAATTTATTCATTGTTAACAGTTTTGTTGTTTACTTTTCCTTAATTATTTATTTTTCGTTATATTGGTAAACTTTGGACTGACACATTTTTGAAAGCGAAGACGTTTTATCACTTCAATTAGTTTTTCAAGACGTCCATACATTTCAAGAACTATCTCTCATGCTATCTTATCTCCGTGCAGGTATATAATGATCACAACAGACTTACCATGCCGCGCCAGCCTGAAAGGAAGCGAATGGTGCTACTATCTTTCCACGACGAAGGCTGACGTGCGCACAAGTTGCCGTGCCAGATTGAATTACATATACCAAGGTACGTTAACTCAGTGTTCTTTCCCCGACGTGATGGTACATATAGGTTTTCTGTTGAAGTAGAACAAATTATAATATAAATATAAGTATAAGTATACACCTAGGCTTTGTTGCCCAAATTGTTTAAGGCCTTCGTGTCACGATCCTCTATAACTGTTGCATGCATGCAATATATTTGAATAATTTTTCGAATTAAATTGCCTTCTGCACTGCAATTTCTAATACACACAGAGAATAACTTATTTTGTAATACAATTCATCATACAAATCTATCAGTATGTTGCATATGTTACATAAAATATTCACGAAGCCTTTCATACGTAGACTCACAAGTCAAAGCAAGCAAGTCTTGGTTTTCACTTGCCAGGATGCCGTTATTAATTTGAATGATCATAGACGGTTACAGTGTCAGCGTGTTAAACCGTTGCAGGCAACAACTGGTTACAACATAACTTTGATATTTCCTCAACAGTACAACTTTTGTTGTAAGCCAGTTGCATACCACAGTTTTACGCAAAAGTTGTGTGATATAAATATAGGCCTCAATTAATAAACAAAAGTCTGTAGTACAATGTTTCACTGCGGCTGTCAGTTCAACAATAAACCGTTGCCTGACGTGACAATTTGTTGACAGGTAGCTATATACTAAGACACAGCAGACACTTACCATGCCATACGTCAGAACGAGGAAGTAAATTGCCACGCTATTTCCTGGATGAGCTGCATACTTGGGGCATACACACTCTGGTCCACAAATTATCCCCACTTGACAGAGAGCCATTTATATAAGTTCCCAGTCTTCAGTGAAGTGTATATAAATTAGGTAAGCGTTCTCGATATATATACAGGGATATTTTCCTCGTTGTTCCAGCGATTGTTTTCCCCTGTGGAAGAGAATGACTATAAGAGTGATTTTATATATACATATATATATATATATGAAATTGTTCTCTGGATAGTAACATCCTAATTTGCAACATTATTCAATTCAATCATACAAATCTATCAGTCTGTGTATAGTCGTGCAACTGTCAGACATCGATGCTTTATTGGCCAAATTGTTTAAGGCCTTCGTGTCACAATCCTCTATAACTGTTGCATTCATGCAATATATTTGAATAATTTTCGAATTAAATTGCCTTCTGCACTGCAATTTCTAATACACGCAGAGAATAACTTATTTTGTAACACAATTCATCATACAAATCTATCAGTATGTTGCATATGTTACATAAAATATTCACGAAGCCTTTCATACGTAGACTCACAAGTCAAAGCAAGCAAGTCTTGGTTTTCACTTGCCAGGATGCCGTTATTAATTTGAATGATCATAGACGGTTACAGTGTCAGCGTATTAAACCGTTCCATGCAACAACTGGTTAAAACATAACTTTGATATTTCCTGAACAGTACAACTTTTGTTGTAAGCCAGTTGCATACCACAGCTTTACGCAAAAGTTGTGTGATATAAATATAGGCCTCAATTAATAAACAAAAGTCTGTAGTACAATTTTTCACTGCGGCTGTCAGTTCAACAATAAACCGTTGCCTGACGTGACAATTTGTTGACAGGTAGCTATATACTAAGCCAATCCCACAGTAATCATGCAGGTGTGGCTATCACACTGAATCTATAAAACATTATTTTCTCTACTGTCCAATATTTACTGCCCAAAGGTCTAAGCTGTTCTCCTCCGCTGCCGAGAAACTTCCCGAAGGGTGGTCAAGATTGAAGGATGAACAAATTATGGAAATATTTCTCTTTGGTTCTCAAACGCTGTCGTTGGAACACAACACGGCATATTTTCTTATGTTCAGACTTATATTAAAGAAACAGCACGTTTTTATTTCAATAATTCTTGACACCTATCGTGTTAGTTTTCAAATATTAAAAACCGTGTGTGCGTGACAGTGTATTTTTTAATTTCTAACGAGTAAGCCCCCTAGATGAGTGTGTACGCTCTTGGGGCAAACTCAATTTTCCAAAATATGTTTAAATATACTAAGACACAGCAGACACTTACCATGCCATATGTCAGAACGAGGAAGTAAATTGCCACGCTATTTCCTGGATGAGCTGCATACTTGGGGCATACATACTCTGGTCCACAAATTATCCCCACTTGACAGAGAGCCATTTACATAAGTTCCCAATCTTCAGTGAAGTGTATATAAATTAGGTAAGCGTTCTCGATCCCCTCCTGCATTTCTACACACATATGCAGCCAGGAGTACAGGCCTAAATTCACTGGACATTTAGCCCACCAAAGCATGCAGAGTTGTGATGCCAGCTCTCTAAATATTTTCCTGTCACATTTCTGAGAGGAGAGTATAATTGTCACAAACATTTCGGTGGGGGGGATGTGATGCATTTTTCTATGGCAAGTTTACAATGCCCCCCCCTGCATTTCTACACACATATGCAGCCAGGAGTACAGGCCTAAATTCACTGGACATTTAGCCCACCAAAGCATGCAGAGTTGTGATGCCAGCTCTCTAAATATTTTCCTGTCACATTTTTGAGAGGAGAGTATAATTGTCACAAACATTTCGTTGGGGGGGATGTCATTCATTTTTCTATGACAAGTTTACAATGCCCCCCCCCTGCATTTCTACACACATATGCAGCCAGGAGTACAGGCCTAAATTGACTGGACATTTAGCCCACCAAAGCATGCAGAGTTGTGATGCCAGCTCTCTAAATATTTTCCTGTCACATTTCTGAGAGGAGAGTATAATTGTCACAAACATTTCGTTGGGGGGGGATGTGATGCATTTTTCTATGGCAAGTTTACAATTCCCCCCCCCTGCATTTCTACACATATGCAGCCAGGATTACAGGCCTAAATTCACTGGACATTTAGCCCAGCAAAGCATGCAGAGTTGTGATGCCAGCTCTCTAAATATTTTCCTGTCACATTTCTGAGAGGAGAGTATAATTGTCACAAACATTTCGTTGGGAGGGATGTGATGCATTTTTCTATGCCAAGTTAACAATGCCCCCCCCCTGCATTTCTACACACATATGCAGCCAGGAGTACAGGCCTAAATTCACTGGACATTTAACCCACCAAAGCGAGCAGAGTTGTGATGATAGCTCTCTAAATATTTTCCTGTCACATTTCTGAGAGGAGAGTATAATTGTCACAAACATTTCGTTGGGGGGATGTGATGCATTTTTCTATGGCAAGTTTACAATTCCCCCCCCTGCATTTATAGACACATATGCAGCCAGGAGTACAGGCCTAAATTCACTGGACATTTAGCCCACCAAAGCATGCAGAGTTGTGATGCCAGCTCTCTAAATATTTTCCTGTCAAATTTCTGAGAGGAGAGTATAATTGTCACAAACATTTCGTTGGGGGGGATGTGATGCATGTTTCCATGGCAAGTTTACAATGCCCCCCCTGCATTTCTACACATATATGCATCCAGGAGTACATGCCTAAATTCACTGGACATTTAGCCCACCAAAGCATGCAGAGTTGTGATGAAGCTCTCTAAATATTTTCCTGTCACATTTCTGAGAGGAGAGTATAATTGTCACAAACATTTCGTTGGGGGGGATGTGATGCATTTTTCTATGGCAAGTTTACAATGCCCCCCCCTGCATTTCTACAGACATATGCAGCCAGGAGTACAGCCCTAAATTCACTGGACATTTAGCCCACCAAAGCATGCAGAGTTGTGATGCCAGCTCTCTAAATATTTTCCTGTCACATTTCTGAGAGGAGAGTATAATTGTCACAAACATTTCGTTGGGGGGGGATGTGATGCATTTTTCTATGGCAAGTTTACAATTCCCCCCCCCTGCATTTCTACACATATGCAGCCAGGATTACAGGCCTAAATTCACTGGACATTTAGCCCAGCAAAGCATGCAGAGTTGTGATGCCAGCTCTCTAAATATTTTCCTGTCACATTTCTGAGAGGAGAGTATAATTGTCACAAACATTTCGTTGGGAG